CTACAGTCACAGATTTTTTTCCTCAACCCAAAAAACTTCTAGTAAACAGGCATGAAAAAGGGCTGAAAGAGTGGATCTGGAAAGCCCTCTACAAACCTATCTAGAAGAAAAAGAAAGGACTAATGGCTATGAACAGTAGCTTGATATATGAAGGTCAGCAGACAAGTAGAATGTACTATCTTTAAAACCTGCCAATAGAGTTTCAAGATTATCACTGTCAAGACTGAACAATCTTGGGGCACCTGGGTGGCTCAGTCTTTAAGCGTCTGCCCTTAGCTCAGGTCATGATCCCAAGGGTCCTGGCATGGAGCCCCACATCGGGCTCCCTGCTCCACGGGAAGCCTGCTTCTCCCTCTCCCACTCCGCCTGCTTGTGTTCCCTCTTTTGCTGTCTCTCTCTGTCGAATAAATAAATAAAATCTTTAAAAAAAAAACCTGAACAATCTTAAGGTTTGAAGAAATTGCCTCATTCATCTGACTATTCATAAATAATTATCAAGCATGTACTATATGCTTGGCACTGGAAATGCAAATTGAACAAGACAATATCTGCGCCTGTCTAATAATTACATTTCCAACTCGAGTAACATCACCCTCCCAGGAGAGAAAATTCGCTCTTGGGCAAGTTGAAAAGACTTTGCCCTTTTAATTTATAAAATACAAATATGCATACTGTATATCTGTGATATTAAAATTTAATGGGGAGGGTTGATTAGAGGAAAAAATGTCTAAAAAGACTCCTTAGGAGGGCAAAAACAAACACAAAAATTGAGAAATATTTGTCTACTGGGAATCAAGTGATTATAATAAAATACAGTAACTGCAGCGACAGGGAAAGTGCAGGGTGTTGTGGGAACACACACCAAACACACCAAAGTTTATACAGAAGGAGAAGTCAAGGAAGGCTTCCTGGGAGAAGTCACACCGCAGCAGAGCTATAAGGGATGACCAGTAGGATTTGTTTAGGCAAGCAGGTGAGGAATGGTTTGCTAGAATCAAGGAAGAGGAAGAGCTTATGGCAAAAGACCTGGACAATCACTCACATGGATTTTTATGGAGCAAAATCTATATAAAACCCTAAGCTAACTAGCTTGGCTAATTTGGCTCATTGATTCATGAAGTTAGGTAGCCCGCAGAGAAAACACTGAAAACTGAAAGCTGAATTTGTGTCGTGTTTTAGACCTCACGTTTGTCCTCTCTTCCATAAGGGGCTTTCTTTCCATTGTTTGCCATCATCACAGTGAGGCTCTCACTACCTCCTGCTGGAGAATTCCAACAGCCCCCTTACCGTCTCCCACCAGTGTCCCTATAGCAGCAGAACAACAGAGTGAGCTGAGGAAGTCATGTGCTAAACTGAGCCACCTGGAGAATGTCTCCAATGTCCCCTTCCTCTGCACTGGAATCTTCACGTAGATCCAAATCAACTCTGCCAGCTGAATGTTTGCAAATGAGGCTATAAACCACTGGTTCAAGAGAATTTGAATATTCCATTAAGTCCATAGTTCTTAAATTTTTAGAATCTAACGAACGCTACACACCTCCCCCTCATTCATCCAGTCACAAATATTTAAAGTACCTACGATGTGCCAGGCACTGTTCTAATCACTGACGGTGCAGCCAGAATACGGTGACAAGGTCTTTCACTCATGGAGCTTGCTTTCTCAAGGGTCAAAGGCAAATGGAAAATATATGAACAAATACATAAATCTAAAAATTTCAATTAATGGTCAGAGTTACAAAGTAAGTTTTAAAAGGCTCATGGGTTAAAGAGTGACTCTAGAAAAGGATATGGGGGAAAAATCATAGGAGGTGATATGTAAGCTGAAACCGGAATGATAAAGAACCAGCTATATGACCAGCTGAGGGAAGCGAGTCCCGAGTGTAGTGAGCAGCAAGTGCAAAGGCCCTAAGATGGAGATGAAAATGCACAGGGGGAAAACTGATAGTGGGTGTACATTTATACAGCTATACTGTTCTTAAATAAAATTTTTTAAGTATAAGTGGTTTAATAGACTGCTACCCTACATATGCCTTCCAAGAACCCTAGAATCTCCTCCAAACCAGCAAGTAAAGAATTAATGTCTCTAAACAACCCAGCACCTCGGCTGTTATGGCTACTTTCAGTTTGACTGACCAGAATCCAGGTCATATCATTTGTTATATAATTTTCCTATCACCTTTACACTAAAGCATAATACTCATGAAATTATTATACAACTGCAGGGGTGAACATGGAAGTCCTAAAATCCATCTTATGTCCTTGAGTTTATCTACATCCTGGTTTTATCTGCTTAAGAGACAAGAGCAGACTGCGGTTGCACATGTGGGAAGCTGATTTTCTGGATTTGTATCCTAGTCAGACACTTACTTAGCTATGGGACCCTGAGCAAGTTGATGAAAAGTTCTATGCCTCACTTTCCTGTAAAATGAGAACAGTGATAATGTCTCGTGCAGATTTAATAATATAGGGCGTGTAAAACACTTGAGAGACATTAGAAGTTATTATAATGGTTACTATATGAATTATGAATCCCTGTTAAGCTATGCCTACCACCTCCAGGCCAATTCATTCCTTTTTGTCATTTTTTCTTCATTTCCACTGGCCAAATTTCTACCAACTTACAAAGCTCAGATAAAATGCTATACTCAGGGGCTCCTGGGTGGTTCAGTCAGTTAAGCGTCTGCCTTCGGTTCAGGTCATGATCCCAGGGTCCTAGGCTCAAGCCCCACATCGGGCTCCCTGCTCAGCAGGAGCCTGCTTCTCCCTCTCCTCCCCACTTGTGCTCTCTCTCACTATCTCTGTCACTATCTGTCTCTCTCTCTCTCAAATAAATAAATAAAATCTTTAAAAAAAAATGCTATAGCCACCATGAAATTTCTACCAGCATCAGCTTCCAGAAAAGCTATTTTCCTCCTCTGAACAACTATGAGTACAATTTATCCCAATAGTCCAATCATTTATTGTCTTATAAGGTGATTTTGTATACAGTTAACCCTTGAAGAACACAAGTTTGAAATGCATGGGTCAACCTATACACTGATTTTTTTTATAAATATAGCACATTACTATAAATGTATTTTCTTTATGATTTTCTTAATGATATTCTTTTCTCATTTATTATAAGAATACAATATATTAAGCATATAGCATACAATATGGGTCAATGAACTGTTTATGTCATGAGTAAGAATTCTGGTCAACAGTTAGCTATTAATGGTTAAGTTTTGGGGGAGTCCAATACTATACTCAGATTTTTGACTATGCAGGGGTTGGTTCCCCTAAACCCTGAGTTGTTCAAGGGTCCACTGTACATGTTTTCCATACTCTGCTAGATTGTAAATCATCTAGAACAACACTGCCCCATAGAAATATATTTTGAGACAAATAAGTAATTTGAAATGTTCTAGTTAGCCCCATAAAAAGTCTTTTTTAAACAGGTGAAATTAATTTTACGGGGTTAAGTAATAATATATTTTATTATATTACTTATATTATGATTATATATTTGATTTAGCCCCATAACCAAAATATTACAATTTACTATAAAATCAATATAAACAAATGATTAATGACTTATTTTATATTTTTTTGTACTGCGTCTTTGAAATCTAGTGTGTACTTTACACTTAACAGCACATCTCAATTTGGACTAGCCATGTTTCAAGTGCCCCACAGACACATATGGATAGTGGCTATCATTTGGGACAACACAGTTTTGGGGCATGTATTATCCTCTATATCTCTGTATTTTTCATAATGCCTAGCATAGCACATAACCTATTTCAGAAGTTCAATTAATATTTGTCAAATTTATTTTATTTTTTTAAAGATTTTATTTATTTATTTGAGAGAGAGGATGAGAGAGAGAGCACATGAGAGGGGGGAGGGTCAGAGGGAGAAGCGGACTCCCCGCCGAGCAGGGAGCCTGATGCGGGACTCGATCCCGGGACTCCAGGATCATGACCTGAGCCGAAGGCAGTCGCTTAACCAACTGAGCCACCCAGGCGCCCCTGTCAAATTTATTAATTACTTTGTTAATTAAGTTAAAATCAGTACAAAAATCTAACAGTATAGAAAACATATTTCTGGTATTCATAACACAAAGCAAAAACATGAAAAAATAATTTTAGCATCTTTAAAGAATAAGTTTACTCTTTGGAGTGATAAAGTGAATTTTTCAGTTTTATTTCTCATTAAGAATATACTTTAGAAGTACTAAGTCCTGGATCATTGAAGAAAATAGTATGCATAGCAATAAAATTATTTGTTTGACCTATTTGGAGAAACAATTCAATCTCACTTTCCTGTTAAGAATAAGGATTCGGAGGGGGAGACGAACCATGAGAGACTATGGACTCTGAGAAAGGAACTGAAGGTTCTAGAGGGGAGGGGGGTGGGGGGATGGGTTAGCCTGGTGATGGGTATTAAAGAGGGCACGTATTGAATGGAGCCTGGGTGTTATACACAAACAATGAATCATGGAACGCTACAACAAAAACTAATGATATAAGGTATGGTGATTAACATAACATAATAAAATAAAATTTAAAAAAAGAATAAGTATTTTAGGTAAGAGTAATTCACTCTTTAGTGTACAGGATTTGATAAGTCTGGATGAAAATATTTGAAGTTGTTTTCCTGCTCACCACATGACTTCTTAAATGTGTTGTGCTCTGAAATATATTCAGTGTTTCATAAATGATTTTCCAGTTATTCTGATGCAGTTACAGAAAATGAATGACATTATTTCCATAACCATTAAGAACATACTATCAGGACCAGACCAACTTGAATTATTCCTGTTAGAAAGTCGCTATGAAAGAAAGTGAAAATCCTGATATGTATTCCACCACTCTAAAACTGTAGCTCCCCACTCCTTCCTTATCAACTTTAGACCTGCCTTTCTTTTTAACCTTAAGTATCCATATGCATGAAGTATAGATTATGGTAGAGAATTATGAAGAATTAACAAAATATGGTAGTTAGGGAAGTAAAATAACTTCAATGGTAATTTGCAAATTGGCAACTGATAATGGTTTTCATCAAGTGTAAGAGATTGATCCAAGTTGTGGACTACCTTTTCTTTAGGTATTTTATAAACTACAATGGTGCCCTTATAATGAGGGCAGCTATAGTTTCCAAATTCATCCACCTCTTTGATTTGGAGTTCCAGCCTGGGTTTTCTTTGTAAATGAAAAATAAGCTTGTAATCTTTTCCATAATCCTTCCCATTGCCTAAGAAGAAGTAAAATACGTTTGTTACTATTGAAATATACCACTTTGTCTTATTTACTTTTTTAAAATCCAAATAACTACTTGACTTTTTAAAACTTTTTAAGCTTTTTTGGTGTCATTGCCTTTTGCCAAAATTTAAGCAGCAATAGGCTGAGACTGCAGATTACTAAAAGTATTTTGAAAAAAAAAAAAAAGGTATTTGGACCAGGTGCTCTCTGGCTTCTTCTCAATCTAATAATCTTTGATTTTCTTTTTCCATTCCGTTTTGCTCTAACAAAAAGCTATTGGAAATACTCAGTTCTTTCTGTATTTAGAAAATCATTTTTACCTTTCAATAATTGTCTTTTTTATCTCCCCTAACTATTAATAGCATATGGAACCCTATCATGACCTCCCAATAGGCATTCTAGATGTACGGTAGCCACTAGCAGTGTGTGGCTTGTAAAATTTAAGGTGAAATTAATTAAAATTAAATAAAACGAAAAATCAATTCCTCGGTCACTCCAGCCACATTTCAAATATTCAATAGCAACCTATGTCTAGTAGCTACCTTATGTGGTAGTGCAGATGCAAAACATTTCCACCATCACAGAAATAGAGATGTTTTAGCAAAACTTTAAAATGGAAGACTTATTAGATTCATGTTACTGACATTTTTATTGAAACCTGATTAATTCTGCCAAATAAGGGTATATCTTCTCAACTGCTCATTGAATATAACAGAGCTTTAGTGGAGATTACTTTTCACTCATGGGGCTTTTACCAGGACAATTTTATGTTGTCATTGCAAAAGCAAAACAGACACTGCCATTTTCCCTAAGGCATGTCTGCATTACCCTTTGCAAAATTTAAATGTAAGCTATATTGTAACAGTTAAGGTAGTATGTTTCAAACTTAAAGAGCTAGATCCAAGGCCGGCCCAACTATTTATCTACATTGTAATATTTATCCAGTCCTTTCACATCTCTGAACTTCTTGGAAGCTTAACTTCCTTATCTTTAAAACAAGAGAAATAAAACTTACCTCCTGGGATTGTTCTGGGAATGAAAAGAAATAATATGGCTAAAATGATCGGCCCAAGGGCTTAGCGCATAATAAGTGCTCAGTAGGTGACAGTAATAATAGCAAATGATAAGAAAAAAGCAGGATCCTTCAACTGGTTTAAATTTGTATGATAAAAAACAACCCACTTAATATTTTTTTAACATCAACATGAAGCCTTTATATAGAAGTTGAAACTTCCTCCTATTTCTAGAAGCCTGAACATTGACTACTCAGAGCTCTTTCTCATAGAAAACCTGCCCAATGAAATAGGAGTTCTGTGAGAGATGTAGATGACACCAATATTTTTCTCCCTGTTGAACTGCTAGATGTCATTTTGGCGAATCTCTAAAGCACAGTTAAATCTAGAATTTGAATAACTCCAGGTTATGAAATGTGTTGGAGTATGTCTCTTCACATAAGTTTATATTTTAGAGGCAACTTGGCTACTTGAACAGAACAATTCCTAGGACATCCTAGGAAAGGAATGACAAGCCAGGGCTTGCCTTCTTAAAAGAGTTTCACTCTGGTAAAAAAAAGAAAAATAAATTTGGAGTCACTAAAATATCACCTAGTAAATTCGCTAACTTAGAGTTTTTAGATCACTGGAGTAACACCTGACAAATTTCTACTCCATACTATTAGAGTTGTTACTTTGGTCCCAAAAGAATACAACTTAATAAATGTCTCCTTCTATCCTTTGAAAGATACTCCCTGCCAGGTATTCAATCACTCATAAGGGATTATTTGGATGCAGGATATAAAGATTGAGGGTGAGGCATAACTACGTTGGTTTAGATCTTAAGTTTATCTGCCTCCCATTGCCAGTTAATTTTTTTAAATAAAGATCTGCAATGTAAATCTCATGTTTATATATGAAATAAAGATGAAATTTTTGAGGATTTGCTAGTAATAAATAGCATTATCTTAGTATTATAAATAGAAAGTCTAGATTTTTTTTAAGTTGGAATTTCATTGCTGCCAAGATATAGCACTATATTTTGAATACCCCTTGAAAAAAATTTTTAAAAATTTTAAAAATGGACAAGCAGCACAAAGAAATTTCACCATTCTACTTTTTTTTCTCCCACATTGGCATATTTAGAGAAGTAAAAGCAAAATTCATTTATTGCATTTCAAAATTATGAAATCAACCTTTAGTTGACATTTTGAGAACCTCGTTCTCTTCAATATATTATATAATATAGTTCCTAGAAGACCTTGGAATAGTAGCTGTTCAATAAATATTTGCCATACGAAGAAATATAGAATTTACTTATGTTACTAGATATACCTTGTAGCAATATATTTTCTTCTCAATGAGGGGAATTGGAATATTTCTCAAAGATGACATAGAAAGTACAAATGTGGAAATATATGCTTTTGCTTAGAAAATATATGCTTATGCTTAGAAAAGTCAGATGAGTAAGTGAAAGGCTAGCAAAATAGAGAACCAGAAGAATTTTGTAAGAACCACTGGCTCAGGGTTTTCCTGTATTTTAACACATCTCCACCACCTCCACCTGTAAGCCACCACCATCCCATGCTTGGTTTATTATAATGGCTCCTTAACTCATCTCCCCAATTCTTCTTTTGCCTCTGAGATTATAACTGTGTTGAGAATCTATTCTACAACTCAGATCATGTGACTCCTCTGTTAACAAAATGGCTCCCCATTTCCCTTGGAATAAAGGCCAACTCCTTGCTATGACCTTCAAGGAATAGTCAGTACTCACCTCCTCTCCTACAACAGTCCTCTCACTTCTCATCCACCCATTTCAGCCTCCTTGCTGTTCCTCAAACAGAGCAGGCACACATATGCCTCTGTTCAGTAGCACTTGTAATACCTCAGGCCGGGACAAACTCCCCTGGGATAGGATGATGGCTCCTTTCTCACCTTCTTCAAGTCTCTGCTTAAATGTCACTTTCTCATAAAGGTCCTCCTTCATGAGTCTATTTAAAATGGCAACTTTTTGCCACTCCCTCTGAGACTTTTGATGTCTTTTCCTTGCTGTATTCATCTATAAGGCACTTCCCTCCCATCACACTGTACATTTTATTTACTTATTTGCTTCTCTGTCTCTCTCCAGTAGAAAAAATATACACAAGGGCAGGAAATTTTATTGAATGAATAAAAGGGTGCTCATTCTAACATCCTACACATATTTCTGGGAAAGACACTTCCCTGGGCCAAAGGGCATTCAGGGCAACTTTGACACACACAGACCTCTTTAGGAATTACTAGATTTGATGGGTCATGCTAAAGTGTCATTATATCAAATTTTATCTGCCCATTTCCTGGCACTTTCTGGATTTTGTGAGCACTGGGGGTTTAGATGACATGCAATAGGAAGTCTAAGTGACGAATTAACAGCTCTAACCCAGAGAATGAAAGTATATATTCAGAAGGATGCCAAAGGCTAATATAAAAAACCCAGGGGAGCACCTATCTTATTTTCTCTTAGAAGGAGAATGAAAGTACATGTCCCATGATCTCACTCAAAAGAATCATCTCTATTCTATATAAATACATATAAAATTTTTGACATTTCTCAAAAAACAGTCATCTAAATCCATTAAAGTTTTAAATACTTTTAATTGCATAATTCTATAATGTTAATGTCTTTCCCAAGTTTTTGTCTTCCATTCCTCCAACAAATACTACTTCTAACTGTCAGGCACTGTACTAGGTGCTGGGGATTGACTGGTGCCCACCAACAGAACAGGACCTACTCTCAAGGGACTGTAGTCAGAGAAACGGATATTGATCAAACAATTAAATGAATAAAAAAAGATTGTCTCTATGGCCATGTACACAAAAGAGAAGTACATAAAGATCTGAAAAAGTAAGATAAGAACTGACATAATCAGGAAAGATGGGAACACTCTTCTAAACATGATCATCAAGGTGAGGTATGAAAGTACAGTAGGAGGTAACTGGAAGTGGGTGGGGTGGATGGGTGGGGAGGAGAGCCCTCTAAGCAGACACTATCTGAATTGTATGTCTTTGAGAGTCAGAGAAACTATCACAGGCTCTAATGAGAGGAGGAAGTATCAGTGTTTTCCTGGGAATCTTGCTCTTCTTAGATGGCCAAAAATCCACTGAGGCCCCAATCTGAGCACAGGTCTCTAGGAAAGGCAAAGCAGATGCTATCTGGCATCCTGTCTGATTCATTTCCCTCGCGTGAAGATGAGTTCTTCTCCATCCCCTACATGGAGAAATTGCCAATATGCTGGCCTCCTCGAGCACTCTTATTTTAGTTTATGCTCCCCCTCCCAATTACAGGCAATAAAACGCTCAGTACCATTGCTGATAAGAAGCACAGTAACTCACTCCTGTTTAGGGCACTAGGTAAACACAGCTGTTGTCCCCAGTGTTACAGGAAAATCACTGGCCTCATTAGTTTGGGTGGGGCACTTCCAGTTTTTGACTATCTCTTCTTAGAGAGATTGTCTGAGGGTGGAAATGTGGTTTCTGCTTTGGAAGCCAAGTAGAAAGGGATCTCTTCTACCTTCCTTCCTCTCCCTCCTCACCCTTCCCTTTCCCTTTTTCTGATACCCTTGTCACTCACTCACTAAGTCCTGCCAGTTGACTCAGTTGGCTGGGACACTGAATGTGGAAGTGGAAAAGACAGTTCACGTTGGGACACTGTGGGCCTCATCTCTGAGATGCCAGAAAAAGGGCAGCCTTAGCTTCAAGCTGCATCATTTTTGTGACAACAAAGAGCCAATGGTGCTGGGCTTAACTTCCAGAATCAAAGAGAAAATAGGCATCATTAAAAATCAATGAGATCGGGGCGCCTGGGTGGCTCAGTTGTTAAGTGGCTCAGGTCGTGATCCCAGGGTCCTGGAATAGAGCCCAGCATCACACTCCCTGCTCAGCAGGAAGGCTGCTTCTCCCTCTCCCATTCCCCCTGCTTGTGTTCCTTCTCCCGCTTTGTCTCTCTGTCTAATAAATAAATCTTAAAAAAAAAAATCAGTGAGATCCGTATCAGTTTATAAGTGAACCGAAAATATTACTTCAAGTCAAGTCTATCACAAGATTCCTGGGCCATAAATCCCCATAAAACCCATGCCTGACTTCTCCCCTACCCCTGGCTTTTGCATGCATACCTGTTAGATTCTATTCCACATCAAGGAAAGAAGTTACAGAGGGGAAGTGGTTGAATTAGTAAAAAAGAAATCGCTGGAATGGCAACTTCTCCAAAAATCTTTTTTTTAAAGATTTTATTTATTTATTTGAGAGAGAGAATGAGATAGAGAGAGAGGAGAGCATGAGAGGGGGGAGGGTCAGAGGGAGAAGCAGACTCCCCGCCGAGCAGGGAGCCTGATGCGGGACTCGATCCCAGGACTCCAGGATCATGACCTGAGCCGAAGGCAGTCGCCTAACCAACTGAGCCACCCGGGCGCCCTCTCCAAAAATCTTTTTAATCTCTTCTCTCATACAGCTGTTTTCTCTGTGTTCTCCTTTTTCTTTCTTTTCTCGTTCCCTTCATCTTCTTTTACCTCTTTTTTTATCTATTCCCTCACTTCTCCCCCCTTATCCTGCAACCTCTCATATTCATTCGCGCTGTTTTTCTTAGTATTGTCATATATTCACCCATTTACTGCATACTATTGAAAGCTCTTGATGTACCAAGTTCTCAACGTACCAGGCTCAGAGGTACACAGCAAGAAAGACATAGTCATCAACCTCATGAAATTTACATTCCAGTGCAGAACATAAGTATATGAATGAAAAGTAAATAAACAAATAAATAAAATAATTTCAAACTGTGGTAAGATTTATAATGGAAGCAAAAAAGCACCAGATAAATATGAGGATGAGAGGTAAGCAGGGTATGTCATCTAGATCAGAGAGAGGTTCTTAACCACTTCTGTGCCATGGACCCTTTTGGAGTTTGGTGAAACCTATTGATTGCTTCTCAGAGTAGTCTTTTAAATATACAGGAGCACCTGGGTGGCTCAATCTTTGAGCGTCTGCCTTTGGCTCCGGTCATGATCCCAGCGTCCTGGGTTCGAGCCCCGCATCGGGCTCTCTGCTCAGCGGGAAGCCTGCTTCTCCCTCTCCAGCTCCCCTTGCTTGTGTTCCCTCTCTTGTCATCTCTCTCTGTCAAATAAATAAATAAATAAATAAATAAATAACAAAATCTTTAAAAAAATATATATAAAATAAAATAAGTGGAAGTATAAATAAGATAATTATACTGGAATATAGTTCTATTCACACATCTCTTAGGAGTCCACCGATCCCAGGTCAGATTCTTCATAGGACATCAGAACAAGTTTAGTTATTATTTTAAGTAAAATAAGAGATAATTGTAAGGTTTTAATGATGGGGTAATAAAGTATGATTTATATTTTTAAAAGATCACTATTGTTCCTGTGTGGAATTAGATTTCGTGTGGCTAATAGTAGAAGCAGAGGAGTATTTAGGAGGCAACTGCACTGGTATGTGAAAGCACTGATCACAAGCAACACCCAAGGAGAGAGCCATTCTCATCCAAGCGTTCTTCAAAATCAAGCATGCTGATAACCAGATAGTTAGATTCATGAGTGACGTTAATGAAACTCTTAGCAGTCAGGAAACCATTCAAACCAGACCAAATTCTAAACAGATGTTCATGGATGAAGCAATCATCCAGGCTCAGATCAGCTCTAAATATGGCAGCATACTTTTTATATATATTTCTTATTAATTATGTTATGTTAATCACCATATGTTCCATCATTATTTTTTGATGTAGTGTTCCATGATTCATTATTTGTGCATAACACCCAGTGCTCCACGCAGAACGTGCCCTCTTTAATACCCATCACCAGGCGAACCCATCCCCCCACCCCCCTCCCCTCTAGAACCCTCAGTTTGTTTCTCAGAGTCCATAGTCTTTCATGGTTCATCTCCCCCTCCAATTTTCCCCCCTTCATTCTTTTTTTTTTTTTTTTAAGATTTTATTTATTTGACAGAGAGAGACACAACGAGAGAGGGAACACAAGCAGGGGGCTGGGAGAGGGAGAAGCAGGCTTCCCGCTGGAGCAGGGAACCCTGTGCGGGACTCGATCCCAGGACCCTGGGAGCATGACCTGAACCGAAGGCAGACACTTAACGACTGAGCCACCCAGGCACCCCTCCTCCCTTCATTCTTCCCCTCCTGCTATCTTCTTCTTCTTCTTCTTCTTCTTCTTTTTTTAAACATATAATGTATTATTTGTTTCAGAGGTACAGGTCTGTGATTCAACAGTCTTACACAATTCACAGCGCTCACCATAGCACATACCCTATGTCTATCACCCAGCCACCCCATCCCTCCCACCCCCCACCACTCCAGCAACCCTCAGTTTGTTTCCTGAGATTAAGAATTCCTCATATCAGTGAGGTCGTATGATACATGTCCTTCTCTGATTGACTTATTTCACTTAGCATAACACCCTCCAGTTCCATCCACGTCGTTGCAAATGGCAAGATCTCATTCCTTTTGATGGCTGCATAATATTCCATTGTGTGTGTGTGTGTGTGTGTGTGTGTGTGTGTGTGTGTGTGTGTGTGTATATATATATACACCACATCTTCTTTATCTATTCATCTGTCGATGGACATCTTGGCTCTTTCCATAGTTTGGCTATTGTGGACATTGCTGCTATAAACATCGGGGTGCACGTACCCCTTCAGATCCCTACATTTGTATCTTCGGTAGTAGTGCAACTGCAGGATCGTATGGTAGCTCTATTTTCAACTTTTTGAGGAACCTCCATACTGTTTTCCAGAGTGGCTGCACCAGCTTGCATTCCCACCAACAGTGTAGGAGGGTTCCCCTTTCTCTGCATCTCCACCAATATCTTTTAAATTATACTTTAACTAGCATTACCAAAGAGTATTACTGCAAACTATGGAAGGGAAAGATAATCAAGATCATCCATTTACTACCAATGGGACAAAGAATACATGTCATAATTAAGTGGGGGTTAATATTTTTATCTCTGTCACTGTGTGGTAAAGACTGTTGTGAATGGACCCTGTTATAAGTTAAATTTTGTCCCCTCTACTCAAATTCCTGTGTTGGAGGCCTAACCCCCAGTACCTTAGAATGTGACCTTATTTGGAGATAGGGTCTTGACAGAGGTAATCAAGTTAACGTGGTCATTAGGTCCAATATAACTGGTGTCATAAAAAGGGGAAATCTGGACATAGAAATATGCATACACGCGGAATGCCATGTGAACATGAAAATGGCCATCTATGAGCCAAAGAAGGAGGCCTGGAACGGATCCTTCCCTCACAGTCTTCAGAAGGAATGAAACTTGCTAACACCTTGATCTTGGACTTCTAGCCTCCAGAATTATGAGGCAATACATTTCTGTTGTTAAATCCACCTAGTTTGTGGGACTTTATTAAGGCAGCCTGGCAGACTAATACACACGTCTTTCTCTGGGCTGGATCACTACGCCCTCACACATTTCCCCCAACTCTTCTCCAGAGAATTGCCCTACAGGAGCCCCCTCAGCCAGAGCATCCCTGCACCCACGGACAAGGACTGACTGATGCAGGGCTGTAAAGCCAGCCTTCTTGGTCCTCATGCTCCAGAGCTTTCCTCAGGTATCAGGCTGAGGTAAAACTTCTACTGAAACCAGAGGTTTTCTGATCTTATTCCCTTGCTCTACTTGTTTCTTTCATTCCCTTATAGGATTCACCTAAATGTTCTCCCTCAATAAATCAATAAATTCTCATCTTAGACTCTGTTTCTGACCCAAGACAATTATAGATGTAAGATCTTCCATTTTAAAATAAAAGCTATCTTTAGCCATAGGATTGTCTTCTCTTTATGAATATCTGCTCCTCATGAGCTGGAAAACTGTCGAAAACTCTTTTCATAATGAACTGTCTAGAAAACATGGAAATGAGAAAGCAAAATGAGGACACAGAAATAATGAATTCAGTTACATATACATAGTTATGAGATGAGCATGGTATGAACAGTAAATTACTGTCTTTATGGAATTTCATAAATAAAGGTGCTATTTTAAAACTATTTGGGAGTTAAAGGAAAACTTAAACAATACATCTAAGTTATGAGTGGTTTCCGAAAGCACTTATTAAACTCTCATGAATGAAATTATAGGTAGCATATTCATATCAATTCCGGTTTACATTTTAAGCACACCCTGAAGAGCTATTGATACTCTTATTTGAGGAATAAAAATTTAATCCTATAATTCCATTTCTGTAAACATCAATTATAAATCATCAGGATATAATATCGTCAACTTTTATTGTTTACTATTGTATTACCTCTCTAAACGTTCACACAATTCAAATGATATCAAGCCACTCTGCATGTTTCTCACTACCACATCATCCAGCCCAAACCAACCATGGTCTTGGCTTCTGAATCCCAGTAATTTCAAAGATTCACAGGCATTGGTCCCAGGTTTTCTTATGGAAGCGCTTTTTGTCCTATGCAATGGTAGCAGAAGAGAGACTGGTAAAATCTGTGTGGCACAAATCTTATTTAATGCACTCATTCTTTCATTAAGTGAATAATCCAATAACAATACATTAAGTATATTCCATATGCCAGGAATTATGCCATGCACCAGGAATACAAAGATAAGAAATATATAACCCTTCTCTGCAGAAGCTCATGGTATTACAGTGTTATCCAAACACAGGACAAGGTGATCAGTGTGGTAATTAAGGGAAAGTGCAGGATGGTTTAGCAGCAGAAGGAAGGTGCTCAGGGAAGCTTGCAGAGTGAAAATATTAATATTTGTGATGAGCTTCGGAGAATGAGAAGCATTTTATTACTGGCGAAAGAGTTAAGGGAAAACCCCAAAACATTAATAAACTCGCAGGTGTGAATCCAGATGCTTCAGAAGAGCCGAGAGTAGTGGAGGAGGCTGATGGGTAAGACCACAGACTCAGGAGCAAGACTGCCTACTTTAAAATCCTGCGTGAATCTGCATTTTACTAACTATAAAACCACGGGAAGGTATTTGATCTCTCTGTATCATCATTTTCTTATTTATAGTATGAGAGTAATAACAGTATCTACCGCACAGAGCAAAGTTAGTATTTGTAAAGCGCTTGTAATTGTAGTAAGCATTAATGGCATTAATATTCTCATCCTACTTCCTACAGATACAGCCAGTTAGCTTTTTTGCACAGTCCTCCTTCCTTTTAAACCTGCTCCACACAAATGCTCCGAAAGGGGCAGTTGTATGTACCGTGTGCTATGTTCCACCAGCCAGAGCGGAACTGACTCATAGTAGACGAATTTTCAGCACCCTACAAATTTTATCCTTTTTCTTTAGAATTTGTCTAAGAGGTTCAGAGATTATAACTTGTCACTGTTGTCCTTTAGCTGCAGTGCCCTGGGTTATGAAAATAATAAGCACAGGTATTAGTAAGAAAGGGAAAATAGAGGAGATGCTAAAAGAGAAAAGGAGAAAAATCACGTTGAAAGAATTCATGTAGTCCTAGAGATGGAATGAATAGTCTTACAATAAACTTCTCTTTTCCTGAATTCACTTAAATGGAGATCTGTTCCTCACAAAGGAAAAAAAGCCCTCGATACTGAACATCTTGTAGGGGGAAAGAAATGGTCTAATAAGGCTACTACTCACAAGGGTTTCAGAACCATTTTAGCTATCTACTAAGAACGAAGACCAAGTGTGAAACCCACATCTTTATTTGTAAATAGAATTAGTTATGGCGGGGCGCCTGGTGGCTCAGTTGGTTAAGTGCCTGTCTTCAACTCAGGTCATGATCTCAGAATTCTGGGATCGAGCTCTGCATCGGGCTCCCTGCTCAGAGGGGAGTCGGCTTCTCCCTCTGCCCCTCACCCTGCTCTTGTGCTCTCTCTAACTCTCTCTCTCTCAAATAAATAAATAAAATCTTTAAAAAAAAGAATTAGTTATGGCTTTAAAACCACCTTAATGTTTACAGGTTGAGCTGTCCTATAACCCATAAATTAGGAACTAAGCCAGATTTAAAATGTCCACTCTGAAAACTTTAGACTCTACTGATTCCTTCAGGGAATCAACCAACTTAAAATAAGGAGGATAGGGAAGAAATAGCGTTTAGTTTTGGGGTTTTGTTTTAAAACCACAAATAGAGTAAATTTTGTAATCCCTCGAAGTTAATAATTTATTAACATAGGAAGATATACTAAAACTGAATCCCAAACTTTGATCATTTACTAGAAACTTAATTAAATGTTTCATTGATTTCTTTTTCTGATGACAATTCTTACTCTTTTTTCTACCAATAGCTTAAATTTTTGTGGGGACCTGCAGGTTCTCAGCTGTAGTGGAAATGACCCTACTCCCAGGTCCAGGTGGGTGTAAAACCTGAGCCAAATAGTGCATTTGGCATTCATTAATACAGTTTGCCAAAAAATTCCATTTTTCCCCATCCTGAGCACATTATAGGATTGCACCTCCTTTTTAAAATTTTTTTAATTTAAATTCAATTAATTAACATATATTATTTGTTTCAGGGATACAGGTCTGTGATTCATCAGTCTTATATAATACCCAGTGCTCATTACAACATATACCCTCCCCAATGTCCATCAGCCCATTACCCCACCGCTCCCAACGCTCCAGCAACCCTCAGTTTGAGTAAGATTAAGTAAGATTAAGAATGTCTTATGATCTGTCTCCCTCTCTGATTTCGTCTTGTTTCATTTTTTCCTTTCTTCCCCTATGATCCTTTGCCTTGTTTCTTAAATTCCACATATCAGTGAGGTCATATAATAATTGTCTTTCAATCATTGACTTATTTTGCTTAGCATAATACCCTCTAGTTCCATCCACATCATTGCAAATGGCAAGATTTCGTTTTTTGATGGCTGCATAATATTCCATTGTGTATATGTGTGTGTATATATATATATATATACATATATATATATATATATATACATATATATATATACCACATCTTCTTTATCCATTCATCTGTAAATGGACATCTGGGCTCTTTCCATAGTTTGGTTATTGTGGACATTGTTGCTATAAACATTGGTGTGCAGGTGCCCCTTCGGATCACTACATTTGTATCCTTTGGGTAAATACCTAGTAGTGAAATTGCTGGGTCTTAGGATAGCTCTATTTTCAACTTTTTGAGGACCCTCCATACCATTTTCCAGAGTGGATTGCACTTCCTATCCCCCTATCGTTGAGGGGGGCCCTATGACTAGTTCTGGTTAATGAATGGTGAATGTCACTTGGAGACCAAGAATTTAATTGCTCATGCAGATCTACCAAAGCTTTTTCTTCTGCTACCATGACAGCAGCCAGAAAGTGGTTGCCTTTCAGCCTGAGTCCTGGAGTAAGGATAACCAAGAAGCGGCCTGCCTTTGATGGTAACACAGCATGTGTGAGATATAAAGATTGTCAACAGCCCTCGGGAATTCAGGTTTTTGTTAACATGCCATAACCTAGCCTAGCCTGCCCTGTATAGTGCATCATCCTTCCGGTCCCAGTGATCTGTTCAGTGATGGGTTTGTAGCTGGTTTAGAGTGAGAATAACTCTCAGGGCCTTTATGCATATCCATGGGACAGCTTCCCCTTTTCCACTGAACTTGGAGGTATCAAGATGTAGCTATCTTGCCAGCATGAGGGACAAGCCTGTCAGAGAATGGAATTGGCACAGAGGATGGCAGAAATAGAAGAGAGAGACTAAGTTCTTTCTGGTTTAAGAGGAACGTAAAGATAAATATATCCCCAGACTTTATTTACATGAACCAAATAATTCCTTTCTCCTTAAAATTTCGAGTTTGCTTTTCTGACACTTAAAATGAAAAAAACCCTTAATGATATAAAGATCAAAATTAGATTCCATTTTTTTTCCAGCTTTATTGAGATGTAACTGACATATTGTATAAGTTTAAGGTGTACAATGTGATGATCCAATACTTGTATATGTTGTAAAATGATTATTATAGTAAAGTTAGTTAACACATCCATCACCTCAAATTTAGACTTTGATATGATAATAGATATACCTCATCTTGAAACTAAATGATTTGGCAGCATCCTTATTTATCCCAGCTGTTCTTAACAACTCTGCAAATAAACTCTTCCTTCTATATATGCTATTAGCAAACTTTCACATCTAGTATTGCCTAGCAATACTATTGAATAGCACTTGATCACACTCCACAGGACATTCTGATGTATTAGGAGTTCCATAAAACATAATTAACCTTTATTAAATCAATTTGTTTATTCAAGAATAATTAACCTTCCTATTTCTTGAGTTGAAGACTTTTTCCATATCAATATTCCAGGCATTAAGGGAATTAATTGGCCCATTTAGGTTCAAGTGTTCAATTATAATTAACAGGGACATTGAAAAACGAAAAATCCCATTACGTCCACATGGATATAAAGAACAATTTCCAGAATTTGTGACACAATTCCCAACAAATAAAGTGGCTCGGCAGACAAAGCAACAGATGTCCACTCCAGACTGCCTTTCTGAGGTCTAACAGTGCCCCGACATAGTTTTCCTAGATAATTGCCTTAAGGCCACACAATTAAGAGATACTCAGAAGATTTTTCCCAAGATAAAAAAAAGATCTGTTCAAAGGTTCCACAAGTAGAAATAGACATTGCTGGGAACTTTTCAAGGATAGTTTCTTTTTTTTAATTCTTTTATTTTTTCTATAGCAGTTTTGGGCTTACAGCAAAATTGAGAGGAAGGTACAGAGATTCCCTATTTAGCTCCTACCCCCACATATGCATAGTCTCTTACATCATCAATATTCCCCATCAAAGTGGTACTTTTGTTATAATTGGTGGACCTACATTGATACATCATAATCACCCAAAATCCATAGTCTACATTAGGGTTCACTCTTTGTGTTGTACATTCTATAGGTTCAAACAAATATAAAATGACATGTACCCATCATCATAGTATCGTGCCAAGCATCTTCACCACCCTAAGAATCCTCTGTATTCTGCCTATTTGTCCCTCCTTCACTCCAACCTCTGGCAACCACTGATTTTTTTACTGTCTCCATAGTCTTGCCTTTTCCCAAATGTCCTACAGTATGTATCATATGGTACGCAGCCTTTTCAGATTGGCTTCTTTCACTTAGTAATATGCATTTAAGATGCCTCCATGTCTTTTTTGGCTTGATAGCTCATTTCTTTTTGGCACTGAGTAATTTTCTATTGGATAGATGTTATCTATCCATTCACCCACCGAAGGACATCTTGGTTGCTGCCAAGTTTTGACAATTACGAATAAATTTTCAGTAATATCTATATGCAGGTGTTTGTGTTGACATGTTTTCAACCCCTTTGGCTAAATACCAAGAAGTGCTTAAGATAAGAGTATGTTTAGTTTTGTAGGAAACCAACAGTTTTCCAAAGTAGCTGTACCATTTTGTATTCCTGCCAGCAATGAATAAGAATTCCTGCTGCTTCACATCCTTACCA